ATATTCTTTTCTCGTATATTCCTCAAATTTGTCTTTTATTTTTCGACATGTGTTGGTGTCAGTTCGCTCACATACATATATATTTATAGGCAATTGTCCGAACTAAGATTTTCTGTTAGATAAAATGCTTTAATAGTAAATCGTTATCTTTCAAGCTATTAACATCTAGAAGTAAACAACTATTTTTACAAGAAACTATTAAACTGTAAAATAAAAAGACTTTAATGTCAAGAGTAGTTTCAGTTATAATTTGAATTCTTTTTTAATCACACAATACTGAATATATACACGCATGTACCAAGTTCGACTGTCTTCTTTTTTATATTATCTCGTAGCTATTTTTTCTGAATTTCGAATAAAATGACTTCTTTTTTTAGTCTAAATGAGAAAGCAAAATAATTAGAAATGAACCTTTAATATGTCATATCATGACAAAATGTTCAGTTATATTAGGACCATTAATATGATGACAAAAACTACTACATACACTGTATAAATCTTTACATCTTGATAAACATAAGTTTGTTTTTCACTACATGAAAAGAACAATTCGTAAAACAATTAATGACATGTTTCAAATAGAGTGAAAACAGTTGGAAAACTCGATTTTTGAGAAAAAAATTATTTTTGAAATAAAAAGATGAACTTATTGAGTGAATTGCCCAGTGCACGATTTCATACAAATAGTTTTCATTCTCGAAGTTTTTTTGGATTTTGTAAGTGATCTTTGAAGCTATCTGGACAAATATTGATATCGGTATATGGGTATCGATCTTCTCTCGAGATAAACCCACATCCATGTTCACACTTATCCCTATACCCTCGCTTTTGCCACGACAATGTCATAGTTATCAGTAGAATTTATTAAAATGGGCTTCGTGATTGGTCACATGGACCAACTACTTCTCCTGGACTCGGTCATGAATCATCAAATGAAATTGTCGAATCGATCGAACAATCAGATTAGCCTACATTTCCGACATTGCCTGAAAGACAACAACTTTACTAATTAACAAGGCGACGTCTGTTTTTAACCATGTACAAATTGCCATAAGGCGCAAACGTTTCATATTGCTAGTGGACAAAGCAAATGTTTACGCGCGATGCTGACATGTCAGTTGGCTTGAGCTTTGTGCACGAAAGCGACGCAGAGAACAGTTGGATGTTCGATCGAGAAGTAGTTAGTTATATTTATTGAAAAACCAAAAAGAAAATGACAACATAGACATAATATTCTAGGTTACTTGTTTCATAAACCAATGACGAGCTTTCTCAGAAATGGCTCGTTGTGCCGCTCGTATATCGGTGTTCGATTCTTGAATCGTGTCGCTTTCCTCTTTCATAATATCGCTGACAAGCCACTGAAGGAAAGTCGGAATATTTTTCAGTTTAATCTCCAATTGTTGTTCACGGAGATAATCTAAACCTTGGGTCATTCGGTTTTCCGTGCAAGCATATTCGACGAACTCGTTCAAACTCGCCAATTTTTCTATGTCCACTGCGGCTAATGTTTGTGCTTTGCTTACCGAATGTTCGATTCCCTTGACTTTGAAAGCCAAACGACCTTGTGATCGGGTCCATTCGGTCCAGACAATGCCTTCGCCTATACCTTGCTTATTAAAATGAGTACCCACAGGACATTGTCGTTCGACAGCTTTCGTTATTTCAGCAAGACGATTCTGTGACAATTCCGGTTGATTAAAATCGATTTCGATCTCATAAGTTGAAAAATCGAAGATGTTGTAAATGGAACGTTCCGACCAACGAAATCGCAGTTGTGCATAACTATATGATTTTTTTTCGCAACTACGCGTAATTATGTTTTTATTCTCGTAACTGTACGTAACTGCGTCGCAATTTTTCGCAATTACGGGTCACATTGCAATTGTAGTTACGGCGTAACTGCATCGCAGTTGCCAAAAAAGAGACGACATGGGTTGTCATTTAAATTCAAAATAGATTGAAATTATTATCTTTTTTTGAGATTTTGAACTTATAAATAAATATAAATAATCATAAGTTAAATTTGTTTTAAACAACGAAGGGTTTACAGCTATAGGAAAACATTAAATAGCTATAGGAGAATATTAAGTAGCTATAAGAAACCATTAAGTATATATAGGTTGATTAAGTAGCTATTAGCTGGTTTTCAAAAGTATCTCTTTTGAGAAGCTACGATATCTGACGATCATTTAGAATTGGAGTTGAACAAATAGATCAAGAAACTTGAAGAACTTTGAAAAATGTTTGAAAAATCATCAACTATTGAAATCATCAATGATAATCAAACGCAACCAATCATTTGTCTCATTCAATTGAAAGAGCGTCAGACGATGAGTAAATGTTCAATTATTCTCAATCTTTCCAATAGTTGTAACATAAATTCATTAGAATGCCATGAATCCTATCCAATATTGACTTTGATTAGAAGGGAAAAACACTACTTTTCCAAAGCCGAGTTTGACATTGAAGTCGAATCTCTCCGTTCAATCACCGTTGCTGATATTAGATAAGGATTCCTTTCATTATCAATCTATGTTTTATTGATTTTCAAGTGCAAATGCTAAAGACATAGCCTTTTTATTAGAATCGCTGCTTGTATTTTTACATACAGACACAAATGTATCCATTGTTACCATAGTATTATAACGAAATTCGATTTCGACCTTAATTTTAGACGAATAACTTCAAAGGGTCAGGAATGTACGAATGACGCTTCTTTCATAACTTCACCTCGATACAGCATACCTCAGAAGTATCCGTCGGTCGAGTCATATCACATGGGTTCGATTTGCAAGATTCGAAGTCTTTTGTATTGAAACTTGAGAAATACCTAGATTCATATACGTTTTCAGTTGAACATTGATTATTGGCTATTTTTAATATTGATTGAAAAGTAAGAACTGTTCATAATTAGGTATACTCAAGTAATCACACTCATTCTCACTCGACAGTGTGAAGCACGAGATGTTGAGCAGTCTCTCTTTACTGTATACGTTATACTCTCATGTGTATGAAAAAACTGGTTATACATTGTTTTCTCATTCGAATTTTAACTAACACTCATACTGACGGATCCCAAGGTATAGCAAGCTGTAGTGATATTTAACGAATCAGAGACGACTGGGAATATGTATAGATTGAGTTATATGATTAAGTGAAGTTCTCTTAATACTCATTTTTTATTCTTATTATGGTTGGGTTAATGGTGAACATGTCGACGAATGCCTAAAGGAGGTCAGTGTCAGTCTCGCCACACGATTAGCACTGAAAGGTATCGAATATCGCTTATTAATTACTGAATACAATGAAAAATGGACATTACGGTTCGATAGTATCCGTAGACAGATATTTCATAACTTTATATCTGAAGTAGAGTTCGATGAAACAATGTTTGATGAACGTGAAGTCAAAGTTAGTCGTCATATTTTCTCATTTGTTATCTACAATGTCACTTTTCTTTTCAGTCAACTATTCGTTTCGTTGGTGACAAATGGATTCATACCATGATCGACAAAAATGGTAAAAAAATCGGTCGTCACACGTTACGTCGATGGTAAGGATCAGCAAGTAGTCGTAAGGATGATATATTTGGCTTTTCTATTTAGCATAGAAAATCTCGCTTTTATTTACAGGATATAGTATGTGGTTCAGCCAACACTCGCCGACGGTACAAACGTATCACATAAAATAAAATGATCAAAAACGTTTCTTTTCAAACGGTTCCACACTTAGTTGAAACTAGTGAAAATCATAAAAAACGTACTAAAATATTCCTTGTATGATTTCTATGGCATTTTCAGCAATTTGATTGAAAAATACATTCCTATTCACAGATAAGATTTAGGATTGGGTGTGAATGGATCGATTACAATTAAGTTTAGTTAAAATAACTCTTGATCGGCGTTTGGTAAGATCAGGTCTTGAACTTATGCTTAAAACTTAAGACTTATAGGCAATGGTGGATTGAACTTGCGATGGTTTTTCTTTAAATATGACAAAGACATGTGCAAAAATCAAACGTCAGGCAAGAGCAAAAATTCTGCCACCAATCAACTAGCACTTCTAACCACCATTGTCACTGTTTTCTTGTTTTTTTCAAAACTATGTATCAATCCGAGTTGGATCTATCGAACTATTACAAACCTTCGAAAAAAAACAAACTATCAAAACCATTGAGATGATAACGTTAAGAATTTCATTTATAAATTTAACTACAAATTGCTCAAACATAAATGGACTTAGTTTCCACTAAATATCAATTATATAGATGACGACTCATAATTACTTAGATATATAAAACTGCATGTCTTAATTCCTCATCATAATCATCTAAAAACAAATCTATCTTTTTTTCACCTTGCTTCTGATGTTTCTTATATAAAACGACGAGGTTGTACATTAAACGACTATTACAGAAAATAACTGACTTATCACTTATCAATTTCTCATTGCGAATGAAAAAGATGAAAGGTAACAACAAGCAAAAATATATATTTTTTAAGAAAGAAAAAACATAATCATCATCCACCATTTAAAAAAAACATCCTCACACACACCGTATGTGCAGCACAGAGAGTGCAATCATTCGCACAAGAATGATTCGTTCCAAGAAAAAGAAAAGAGAAAGAGAGAGAGATAGAAAAAGAACTATACACAAAAAAAAAGAAGTGAACGTATAAGAACATAAAGAACTTTTTTCTAATATTATGTTTTGATTCATCAATAGAAAAATAATACAGTCGATATAGCACATAATTTAATTTATTTTTCATTGATCTGAATATGAGCTCAGCGAATATGAATTGAACTCAAAATTATTTGTATAATACGAAATAGACAAAGAGAATTTTGTTAAAAAGCATATTAAAAACAAGCGAACAATGTGCATTTACATAGAATATCAAATTATAGTGTTTGATCAATGCGTAGATAATTTAAAACGAAAGAAAAAAAAAGTACCAAAGAATAAGAAATAAAATATCATTATTTGATATAATTCACGCTTCGCTGGCTTCAGGTAATCCATTATCATTGTTTTTTAGTTTGTCGTGTACTTCTTCATCGAATAAGTCTAAAGAACAAAATAAAAAATGACGTTTTATACTATATTTCTATAGTTAGCATGCTAGAATAAGTAGAGTAGAAGACATTATATCATCTCATACAAAAAAAAAACATTTAAAATATGCTGATCAATGAGGTCGCTTTCAATTAGATGAATGTGGTGTATATACTACGTCGAGAAATGCTACATGAAAATGTTATGTTCTTATTCAGTTCTATAACTATAAAAAAACAGCAAGCGAAAATAATGCTCGAATTCTTAACGTATTGATGGCGATATATCATATACTTACGGTAATCTTTTAGTAGAATGATATGATCTTTTTCAGAAATACTAGAAGAATTGAGTTTCAAACTTCAAATTCAAATTTCCGATAGACACAGGCATCAATGTAAATACACTGTTGTGAAAGTAACAGATCTTATAGTTGTTTCTATCCTAAGATACAGTTAGAGGAAAAAAAGCATGTTTTTCTCATATTGCTTATCAACCTTGACAAGTTCTAATATTCTTAATTCGGAATAAGATCAATGAAAAGATCTAAAACTTCTACACTAAAACTACTTCTATGAAGACCTATCTCTGTGCAAACTTTGAAATGCAGTTCTTCTAACATTTCTGAGATTGATCAGATCATTCTGATAAAAAAAACCGTAAATATAAAAAATATCAGCATCAATAAGTTCAGAGCTCGAACTCTTGACAAAGTATTCGTAGGTTATTAGAGCCAATATAATACGCATAGTTCCGAATCAAACGTGATTGGACACTTGAAGAAGTTCTCTCACGAGGTCGAACTATCATTTATGTCCAGAATAGTCCATAAAATAATTAGACGATAAAAAATTCTAAATTGATATTACACTTATGAATAATCCGAGACAAGCATTTAGATGAAAGTCATGTCTATCTATTCTAATATAAAAATTTCAACGAGATGTTTCTCTATATAAGATAAACTTTTAAACATTTCAAAATCTCAAAATATTTTGTATTCTCAAGAAGAAGAGAAATGATGAAAAAAACAAAGTTTTCTTAGTAAACTAATTGTTACCTAAATTAATTGTTTGACCTTCTATTGATGTATTACTTGAATTTTTTCGATCATTTTGATTATTTTTAGTATTTATTAAATAATCATCATTTATCTGTTGTGGATTATTATCAATATTAGTAATAATACAATCGCTTGAATCAAAATGTTCAATTTCATCTTCATCATCACTATCAGCAACAATTACACTATTATTTTCTTCTTCTTCAGTTTGACTTTCAGCACCATCATCAAATACTCCTTCATCATAACGTTCAACAATATCTCTCGCAACTTGTAATGGTGTTGATTTAACTGTTTCATCTAAATTAGTAATTGATGATTGTTGTGGTGGTGGTTGTTGTTGATATGAATTAACTACTGAACTAAGTGATTTTGATGAATGAAGAGATGATGTTAATAAATCAGAATATGTTTGAGATGAATCAGTATTCACTAAAAATAGAAGAATTATTTAATATTAAAAATTATTTTTTGTTTTGTTGGTTAATATTTAAATACTTGATGGTGTTACATTAAATGAACTAATATTTCTTCGAAATACTACATTATTTTCATTATCTGCATCTTTTAAATCTTGATTTAATAATTTCTAAAATTAAAAGAAATAATAATAGATTTAATAATTCAGAATTTGTTTGTTTTTATTTCTATATACTAGTGTTAATGTTAATTGTTCACCAAGTTTAATTAAAGGAATTGAAATAGATTGTATGTCAATAGTTTTATCTATTTCATTTGGTATTTGATTAATTATTTGCATTAATTGATTATCTAAATAAAATCATTAAATTCTAGAATATTTATTTATAAAATATTTACGATAACTAGTTGCATATGTAACTGCTTCTAATGATGTCTTTGGTTTCATTGAATGTATAGAAAAATTTGGTGTATTTTGAGGAATGTTTAAAAGACGTGATAGAAGCATTTCTTTCTCATGTAATAAACGTTTTATTTCTGTATCAGTTGTCATTATTGAATTTAATATAGATTCCGGTGTAGTTTTTTCATTTGGTATAATTGTTTGAATATTTGGTTGTTCTTCACTAATCGTTGATCTATATTAAATAATAAAAATCAAATTTAAAAAAAAAACACCAGAAAACAAAATGATTTATTCTTCTGTTTTACTGAGTTGTTAATGTTGATGAAGATGAATGTAAATTTTTTTCTTTTGAAGAATATGGATATGATTTTGTTTTTTCAAATGGTTTTCGAGCTTTTTCAATCCATTCTAACCATCTACAATAAGAACAAATTAAAATAAAATAAAATAGAGAAGAAAAAAAAAAAACAAAATAATATACTTTTCAAGATCATCTTTTGAATTAGCTTCGACTTCAATTAATTGTTTTTTATCTGTATCAATGACATAAAAAGAACGAGCACCTAAAATTTAAAAAGTGAAATTTCATTATTGAACAATCATATTATTGAGTTAGAAACTTTGGTGATTGTTTACAAATATTGAAACAGATACCAGTTCAAAAGCAATAAAATTAGACATTCTTTACAGGATGGTTCTTAACTTCTTTTTCTGTTAAATCACTGATGCACTTCGTTCTTGAGTTAATGAGCTACACTTACAATTGAATGCTTAATTTAAACCACTTTTTTTTAAAGAGAAACAGATTCCATACAAGAATTTCTTCTGATGAAATATGAGATGAATCTTTTTAGTTTTCATCAACGAAGAAATATTACCTACAAAAACTACAAAACCTTTGGGGTTTGGTAAGAAAATATTTATTAAGAAATTTTTTTCTTTAGAGTTTGATTCATTTCTATCCACAAATGTAGTGATGCATTTATATAGGAATAGTAAAAATCTAATTGTCGAGTTATGTACAGTAGATAAAGTTTCATAGAAAAAAAAAAAAAACTTGATAATCAAATTTAGCTTTATGCTATCTGTACTCGAACATATTAGAAAACTCTAATGGTTGATATAGGAAACTTTCCTAGATTATTGTATAAACTTACGAGAAAGCATAACGAATTATTGGATGCTGGTCGACTTCACACTATGATTACGAGTAAATCTCGATGAGACTAAGAAAATTTTAAGAGGAATTCGAACTCATGGTTCACTAATGAAGAGTTATTACCCTTTCGAGTGAAACTTTCAATAGTCACTCAATAGCTCTGAAAGTTTTAATGAGAATGAATATATCTGTATCGACATACTCAATTTTCAAATTGATTCGTTTGCTACATCTTCGTATAGTATACCGTTGGGTTTTTGAAAACTGAATATCTCGAGATAGACAGGACTATTTAATGACTATCAAATCTGTCAATAGACAAAATTTCAGATCAAAACAGTCATAGTTATTCATCAGTAGACCGTAGCTCCGAATATTTTTAATCATTTTTTAGTGTTATCGAGATCTACTCATAATCATAATAAAAAGTCAAACGGCATTCGATAATTGAATATGTTCCCTCATTAGTATTATAAAAACATGCTGAAACAGAAAATATTTCCTTCACGTGGTTAATGAAGAGATTTAACTGCTGATTTATATGCAAAATTCATTCAAACTATAATTTATTATTAAATCGATACAATAAACTACCAAAGTCTAAAGAAATTTGATTTTTTTTTGTATGCAAGAATGATGAATTCTAAAATCGTTTCAGAATTTTTTAGACACCTTCTATATGTCTGATTAAGCAACCATAAAAAAAACATTTAGTCTGATTAATCAGTGCATATTTATCCTTAGGCTCAGTTATGCATAAATCACCATCCCGGATCATATATTTTTTTGTGTTTTCATTTAAGATTAGACAGAAATTTCATCGTATTCTTATAAATTCTTTCTTGTTAAATATTTGATTAAACCTTTATCCTTTACAAAGTTTCAGAATAGCTACTGAGAAAATAATCTTATAAATAGAATATTAGCCTCTCTAGTATGTCAACGATGTGGTCACATTCACCGAGTGTCTTGCTTTTGATACAGAGTGATGCTCATGATTCCAATGATCATATGATAGAAAAAAGAGATTGAACAACATGCAAAAGCCTGATTTTCTTTTCTTCCATAACAGTGCTGAGGGAGCAAAAGTAATTTATATGCCATCATGTCAGAGTAGGAGAAAATGAAATGAGTGAATACATAAAAACTAATTTTGAAATAAGATATGTGTTTTACAACACATATTGTTAAGTAGTCATCTATTTTTCTTTTGAAGCATATTATTCATATTAAATATTATTCGAATTTCTCACGTGATGAAGTCTACAATACATACAATAACTTTATTCGTGATCGTCCTGTCTGCTCTACAATGGCAACACGGTATAATATACATCTTATTGTCTGTAATAAATCAAATAATTTATATTAATCACTAGTAGACCTCTTCAGCAATCTATATTACACAACAAATTTCCACAAATCTCTACTAACTGAAGATAAAAACTTTTTTTTTTCTTTTTCATTTTTTTTAAACAATCGATTTTATAAATGTTCTTTCTTTACCAATCAATAGCTCATAAATGTTTCTACAAAACATGTTTTTCAAACATTGAAATTCTATGCATTATTTAATTTTTGTAATCGATCTTACTAGTATTTTGATAAAATTCCCCTAGAAAATCAAAGATTTTAAAAAAAATTTTCTAATATTAAAATAGACATGATTAGTAACTAAGTGCTAGAAAACCATGTTTTTAAGTGCTAAACTCACTGAATTTCAGGAAAAGGATGACTTTGGAAAATTCATAGCCCTCCTATTATGCCCTATGAACTTGTTTCGATGAATGATCTGCTATTCTTGTGAAGAGTTACTCGATCATCTTTTTTTTT